CGTAAGGATGCTGTGCTGTACTGAGAATTGTACCGTGTTGAGAATAGTGCTTGAAAAACAATCTTAGCATAACGTATGGGACATTAAAGAAAGTAAATATCGGTTTCATGTCTTTCTTGACCGGTGTTATCAGAGTATTTCAAGTTCTGTTTAACTCTTGCTCTCTCCTTATTTCCAGGACGGCAGCCACAGGAGGGCTTTCTGAGGGGAAAGGGTGGAGCAGAGTGCTGAGACCCTCCTGCTTTCACATTAACATAACTTATAATCCCCTCACCCACCTGGGAACATCTCAATCACTCTTTCTAGAGCAATGACAAGTACAAAAGAGACTAGAAAAACTTTGGTAAGATGTGCTGAGACAAAGGGAAGTGAGGCGCGATGCCTGAATACATGGTCCATAGCGACACCAACCACTGTCTGCCAGGTGAGGCTACAAAACACACCTTCTTGGTTTTAAAGGCACCTAATCAACTAGGCTGTATCTTTTGTCTTTTGGGTTCACTCTATTATAAGTAGAAGGACCTATTAATTAGATTATTGCTGTCAAACCAGAGAAAGATGGAGACTCATGGTGATGATGGAGCTACTTCCAACAGTGACATTCCTTTTCTACCTTCATAGCCTGAGTTCTTCCTTCTGTGTCAGAAAAAACAGCCTCCAGTAAAAGCTGACTATACATGGGATTCCACATAATTGAAATTCGTATCTGAAATTTGGAAGGCCTCTTTTTTATTTTTGCTCAAATTTGTCTTCTGTAAGGCCAGATTAAAAAACTATATTTAATAAAAGTACAATATATCTATGCTTTTAAGAAGAAAAAGAATCTTAGAAGCAATAAAAGTATCTGGACCCATGTGGCTGAGCTACTGTTTTTTGGAAGCCCATAGATTCTAGGCAGAGAAGTGGAGAATTGCATCTCTAAGAATGGTGACAACTACTTTGGAACCTTGAGGTGGGAGGATCTCTTGAGGCCAGGAGTTTGAGACTAGGCTGGGCAATATAGCAAGATCCTGTTTCTAGAAATTAAAAAACGAAAAGAGCCATACTGCAGTCCCAGCTGCTTGGGAGGCTGAAGTGGGAGGATTATCTGAGTCTAAGAGTCAGGAATTCAAGGCTACAGTGAGCTATGTGCCCCTGTATTCCAGCAAGGGTGACAGAGCAAGACCTTATCTACTAAATAAATAAATAAATAAAAAATAATAATACAAAGAAAGGTGACAAGAACTACAGAGCTACTTCAATTTTAATATTTTTATAGTGGAGAAATGGGAGATCTAGACAGAATTTAAATTTTTAAGTATATTAACAGAGTTTCATGTCAACACAAAAAGACTAGTGTTCAAAACTTTTACCTTGGAGAAGATAGGAAAAACAAGAAGAGATACATTCTCCTAACTATGCTTACAGCCAAATTGACTGGCACTATCTTTCCTACACACCACAGAGCAAATTTGCCTCTATGCACCTGAGTTTAAAAAAAAAGTCTTTATAAGTGGGTGTACCCTAAAAATTAAATGAGAAAGTCAAAAAGAACTGTGTTTACTGGGAAAAAGAAAAACTCAACATAGCATGTGTTAAAGGTTTCTTTCTCTTTTTTTCCTCTTTTTTTCTTTTTGTTTTGTTTTTTTTCATTTAACTCAAGGTTATGAAATGCTCTTGTTCTGTACCAAAAATAACAGAGAGATTTTTCTTTTGTATTTTTACAAATATTTCCATCTTTAAGACCAGAGCTCTCTGGCTTTTGGCTAACAACATGTCCAGATTTAAAGGCATTGCAGAAAGAATGTCAATTTACTCTCAAAGCAATTACAAATACAGCAAAGAAAAAGGCCAATTTTACTATGCAAGGACCACACATACTGTATGTTTGTTATATGATTTGATATCAAAGCAGAAACATCAGATTCTTCTTAAAACACACAAGAAATGAAGTGCTGGCTAAGGAACTCCCACATTCAATTCAGAGATATCTGTTACAACTTACAGAACCTGGCAATGCTAATAATACTGTTTTATGGGAAAGGGATGCTTTTACTGACTTCTATAATTTCTTTAACTTTCTTGCCATAAATGTGGGTACATTATCAATTCATGGCACTTAGGTACCACAGCCCCAGAGTAATAGCTAGAAGAACTTGATCTTTTGTCAGTAGGTGACCTCAAAATATTTAATCAAGATCATTATCATAACTTTGGAGAGGGTGGTCTATAGAAAAAATGATCATCACTGTTTCATTTTGCATCATTATGATATTGGTAAGATGATTTTATTATTATTATTTTTTGTGTGTGTGAGACAGAGTCTCAAGCTATCAACCTAGGTAGAGTGACATAGTGTCACAGATCACAAAAACTTCAAACCTTTGGGCATAAGTGATTCTCTTGCCTCAGCCTCCCAAGTACCTGGGACTACAGGTGCCTGCCACAATGCCCGGCTATTTCTTTTTTGCTGCAGTTGTCTTTGTTGTTTTAGCTGGTTCGAACCCGCCAGCCTCAGTGTAGACCTACCCACTAAGCTGTGAGCGCTGCCTGCGATATGACTTTTATTCATTTGTTTATCATGCCCTTACTGAGGACCTCTTCTTAGTACCAGACACAAGCATCAGGAATACAGAGCTAAATGGGACCTGGCCCTTTAGAGAAATACATTCTTGAGTATTTTGATATACAGAGGAGTGCATGCTGTATTTTATATAGCATAGAGAAATAAAGACATGGGGAAATAATCCAGCATGTGGTAGAGAAATGATGATCAGGAAGGTGAGACTTGAAGTTACCTTTGAATGAAGAGGGCTAATTTCCTAGGGAGGATTAGTGGGTTAAGTCCTCTAGGAATAGGGAAGAGCATGCAAAAGCCATGAGAATGTGAGAGGCCAGAACACTGCAAAATGTTTGCTCTTCCTAAAGAATGAGCCTGGAGATGAGGGTAAGGTCATACTGGGAAGGACTCTCACACCATGACAGGAAGTTTGAACTTAATACCATGGGGCATATGTGAAAAATAACAAGAATAATTTAAACAGTATGATACTGTTATAGATAAATCACTGAAATAGCATAGGAAGTGGAGAAATGATATGAAATCTAGATGACGTACACGTAGAAGTTTAATATAAGAAAAAGTTAGCCTTGCCAATTACTGAATAAAGGGTGGGTTTTTTCAGCAAGTGGTGTTTGGACAACTAACTAACTGTTTCAAAATAAAACTGAATTCCTATCTACATTTAATTTTTTTACATTTAAATGTTTAAATGAAAAAAATGCCAGAAGAAAATGTTTATAATCTTGGGATTAGAGGGTGTCTTTTATTTTTACCTGTGACATTATCACCTATCACAATGGAAATGTTCTGAAATGTGTAAGACACTAGAGTTGTAAGACAAATGACAAATTGAAGAAAATGTTTACAATCTAGGCAATAGTCAAAGAATTAGTATCTGTAATATACAGTAAGTTTCCATGAATCAAAAAAACTAATCTAAGACAAATGGATAAAGGACAAACATAGGCAAGTCACGGAAAGAAAGACACCTAATGGTATGAAAGTATGCTTAATCCCAGAAACAATCAAAAGAATATGACTAAGACAGTTTGATTTTTCACCTATCTGATGGTAAGCAGGAGACACATGTCAGTGGCAGATATACCACATAATGACTTATCACGTCTGGCGTTTGAGAGTGCGTGCAGAAATGGGAACTCTCCAATACTAAGGTGATAAAGACCAATGCAGACTTCCGTAGAAGGTAATTTGTCAACATCTATAATATCATGTATCTATAACATCATCTATAACATCGCATATAAATGCATGTATCATTTGATCCTGCAAGTCCATAGTTGGCACATTTATTTTATAGAAATATATTAAAATACATAAATATATAAAAATTATGTAAATACGTAATACATGAATATATAAGCCATTAAAATATATATATTTATATCAATATATATACACACAAATGTGCCAAAATAGTGCAAGAATATTCATTGCACTGTTGTTTGTAATACTGAAAATTTGGAAACAACCAAAAGGTCTGGCAAAGGGATTAATTTAATAGAGACAAATAAATCACTAAGCTGTTGTTCAAATAAAAATACTGGCATGGAAAGACATCCATTATCTATGTTTAACTGAAATAAATGATTGGCAGAATAGTCTTTATAGTACAATCTACCAAGAGAGGTAGTGAACGCCAGCAGTTAAGAGCTTGGCTTTAGAGTCAAGCAGACTTGGCTTTGAGACCCAGCTCTATCACTTAAAGGTAGGTAAAAATTACCAGCTTCCCTGAGTCTTGATTTCTTTATCTGTCCAACTGGAATAGATCCTAATAGAACCTACCTCATAGAATTATAAGGAGAAGTTCTAGTACTTAATAGAGGCGAAAAACATACTACTTATTATTACTGCTACATTTTTGAATGATTATTATCTTCAGCCCATTTTCTCATAAAACAATTTCCAAAAGCAAATATAATATTCTATGGAAAATTATGCTGGATAGAATCTTTAACTGAATCCACACATCAGTAATGTTATCTTATGTAAGCAAAATATTCTATTTATCTGATCATCTAATAGATGTATCTATTTTTGATACAGATCTGATTTGCATACATATTGATAAACTACAGTGAGAGCAAGTAATGCATTTGGACATTATACTTAAGTACCAAATAAAGAACTGTTAAGTTTAGATAGCCCCAGTTATGAGAACTTTAAAAATCCTTCATGGCATAAATTAGGAATTGTCCTCTAGTCATTAAAACTGATTATTAATATCCTTTTAATAGTAGTTTCCATTATATACATATTCATTTTTAATTATATTATTACGAAAAAACATAAGAAAGCAGGAAAGCACCCTTTTAAGTGTTTCTTCCTAATAAGACTAGGAGAATAAAACATTTAAAATGAAAGAAACACATGAAATAGAAATAAATTAAAATGCCTCTATCAACATAGAGTCTGTATATGAAGAACCATCCATACATACCCTTCTGTTCGGAAAATCACTCGAAAGCTGTCACCTAAGCTTTTATAACTGTTCGGATCTGTGGCACATCTCTGGATCTGGAACCTAGGAACAAAATCAAACACACAAAAAGTCCAAGTTAAGTCCAAGTTGCCACTTCACTTTTCTCATTTTTTGAAGTCTTAGAAACTCAGATTGCTCAGATTAATCTAAAATATTCTGGTCTTTGCTATAGATTGTATTGATTTCTTTGCCTTATATCATTTTTACCTTAATTTTATAGCCTTTAAAATTATGGTCTTTCTCTGTGTATTAATGAAAACCAAAGAAAAGGGTTTTTTGTCTGTTCCTTAGCCAGGCAGGTGTGCCCTGAGGCATTGATATCTCTTTCTTTTGTGAAAAGCATATACAGATGACATGGACTGTTTTAAGAAACAATTCAGAAATCTGAAGATGTGGAGGAAACAAATAAAGTCCTACTTCTTATCTTAGTGTTCTTTGATGGTAATTTAACACAAAGGTTAAAAATACAGAGCAGCATATATGGCCTAACCCTAATGCTGATTGTAAATTTGAAATTCAATCTGGCAGGCAGGAGCGTGTGAGTGGAGCAGGAGTCGGGGTTGTATGACTCCACAGTTGATTCCCACAGCTTCATGGTAGAAATTCACAGGTGCATACTGCCCTGCATATAGCTGGTGTGCAATAAAAACAGCTCCCATTTTTGAAAGCTAAATCCTTTTTTTAAAATTTCAGGTTAATTTGAGGGTACAAATGTTTAGGTTACATTGTTTTCATTTCTAAAGTTAAGTTCAAGTTGTAGTTGAGCCCTTCACCCAGAGGGCGTGCTGACCACCCTCGCATGTGCACATTAGGTGAGATCCCACCAATCACTCTCCCATCTCCCCTGTTCCCTTCCTTTCCCCTCCTCCGCGCTAGAATATACTTGTGTTTTTCTTTTGTATGGGGGTGCAGTTGCTTATATATTGTCTTCATATTAGCATTGAGCACACTGGATGCGTGTTTTTCCATTCTTGTGCTACTTTAATAAGAAGAATGAGTGAAAGCTAAATTCTTTTTTCTTCCTTTTGGGTATGCTCATGCCTCTCAGAACCTAAACCCTCCATTTGTGGAAGTTTTCAGTACCAAGGTCTTAACTTTTTACTTTGTGATTGTCCTGAGGTTTGTTTGCACAGAGATTTCTGACAAGTCCTCCTGTTTTTCCCACACCCTAGTTCTCCATTCTCTGGTTTCTTTAGTCGGCCTAGTCCTTGTCCCGATTCTGAATTGAGGTCTTCTCTTTTCTGTACTTCCTGCTACAGTTTTAGCTTATTTTTAAAAGAAAATTTCAGAGACACCTCTGATGTTACCTAGTTCAAAATGCTTTTCTCAGATTGTTGACTTTTATGATATAAACAAAAATTCTAACATTAAGAATAACACATTTTACAGTTCTAGATCCCAGGGAATAATGCTGAAAACAGACACATCTCACAGAGAAGGGTGCATTTATCTTTTGCTGGAAGCAGTAGGCATATGACCAGCGCGAGGGTGTGGTAAGACTGAAAAGTAAGGGTGAAAAGTTGCCAGCATCCTTTCTGAGTCCCCTGCGCGCGTCTCACTGTGTTTGGTGTAGTGGTATTGCTGGGAGGGTTTCATTTGTTTCCATCCTCGTGGATTTTACCTTTCTTGGTTTTTGTGTATCTCAAAACTTTCATCATGACCCACGTAGGAATGAAAACAACAGAAATGTGATGGAAGGGTGAGTTTGTTGGGCAGTCCTTTTCCTCCTTAAAAAATTTTTTTGATGACACATCCAACATCTTTCCTCTTGATCCTCTTCAACTCTGCAAGTAACATTCCACAGTCCTGTGCCTACTATTGTCAAAGTTTAAAATGTTTTAAATATTCATCCTCATGGCAGTTTATTTTTGGACAAACTTTTATCTGTATTGGCATGATCCATTTTAGAAGGTTAGTTTCTGGAAAAGACCTGTAAGTTTTAGATTTAAATTGCACGGAGGCTGCCAGAAGACCAGGGACCAGCACAGCTTGATCATTCAAACTGTCTTGGGTCCAGAGGTGCGTCTGGTGTGTAGATAACCCCTGGCCTGGAAGACGCAGTAAGAGAATCTATTTAGAATTAAGAATAAGATTTGACAGTCAGGTGGATGCACCACTGTTTGAGTATTTCTAGACTACAGTACATTGATGAGATAACTTAGTAATTTGCATCACTAGTAAACACAAAATAACATAACCAGAGTACTCTATGTAGGTTTGTACAGCAAATAACTTTGAAACACATAAAGCAACTTTGAAAATATGACTTTTGGCTCTAGTTCAAATAAGAATCTTCATCTTTTCCTCTGCATATTTGTAACCTATATTCATTACTGATTATTAAACACTTTCTTATGTCTGGTTGGGAAACCTAAGACTCTCTGCTAACTAACTTAAAATAGCTCACATATTATAAAAGCACTAGATGAGCATAGATGTTTCTCATAATATCTATAATAATCTTTCATTAAGTTCATTTATCTCAGTAAATTCCTTTCTAGATGCTTTTCTCCCAAATTACCAAGTATTTTCTTAATGTGTGCCATATGATATAAGATGCTACAGGTTTGACAAAAATCCAGGGCATTACCTCCATTCTCAAGAAGCGCAAGAAGGAAATATGAGGGGAAAAGATTAACAATACGAGGGAAAACATCCAAAATGTCAAGGAGCATCGGCAACAGGCTGTCCAGGTGTTCACGGGGGGAGCAATTACCGCTTTCTGCAGAGGGTCAGGAAGGGTTTCAGGAAGGAGAAGGGATTTGAGCTGGGCCTCGTGGGATTCAGAGAGGCAGAAAGAGCAAACCGGGAGGAAGCATTCCAGGTGAGGAAATGACAGGAGCAAAGGCCAGTGAGGGAGAGCTGTCCTTGCTGTCCTTTCTAACTGGGAAGCGAGGACCCTAGTGGCCTGTCCAAGGCTTCCTTCAGGAAGATGTCACAGCACTGTGCTTGCTGGCTGCACACACTTGGTGGCACAGGGCGAGTTGGAGACCTGAGCTGGTTAGAGGAGCATTTATAGGAGATAAAACCAAAGCCCAATAAAGAGCATTTTGCCTTTTTCTGTTCCTCACCTGAGTATTTCAGCTACCTCAGTATGGCCATCTCAAAGCAAGCACAGCCCAATGCTTAAAAAATCAACCTTAAACCCTCTTTTACTGCTAGGGTTAGAGACCTCAGCTTTATCCATGATGTCTGCACACAGGGGCCTTTCTGTTAACTTCTGCAAACGTGAATGCACAGTACAGGTATTTCATAAGTAACTAGTTATCTCACCTGCCTAGGTCGTAAGTCTAGGCACTTCACTCATTAGTTGCAATCACTTTCTCTTTTCAGAATCCAACAGATATTATTTCCAACCCATCATTCATTAAGTTAAAAGAGTTCTTGAACACCACTATGTATTAGATACACTACTATTTGGAAGATTACAAAGAAATAAGGCATAGCCTTGTCTTTTAGAAACTTAGGGTTAGGTGAAGGAAATGTGCAAACAGATGATTACTAAACGCAAGGGAAAAGTCAAGGAGTAAAGCTTTGGAGCATCAGATGCTACCCAGAGAATTTTACTGGAAATGGACAATCTTATCGGGGATGATGTCCCGTCTATGGGCAGACTCTGGCTGACAAGAAAGTAGTACTTATCATAGACAATGGAGAGAAGAAGGGAAACAAGAATATCTTTGGGTTAAATATCTATAATTAAACTTTACCCATCCATTTTAGAACAGGCAACAAGGACGGTCCAGGGAATCTTAGAGGAACGTATCATTTAGAAGCCGTCTAAACAGAAGCAGCAACATCAAAACAACATTATGTGAGCAGGGTCCAGAACTGCATTGGGTGAGCAGTGCAGAAGATGGACAGGCAGGGTAAACACGAGGGCTTCGGAGAGGCTGCTCACCATTCTAACTATGCCACAGCGGCTGCAGGGCCCATGCATCAGGCTAAGTGAGCATGGTTACCTCCTCTGCTGTGCATCTCACACACGTCATGGCTACACAGTATTTTTGTGCAGTCTTTAGTTCCGTTACACACGACTTATTCCACACACATAGTTATCAGTTCTTCTAAGGACTCTGTTTCAGCTGATGTAATTATAGTACATTTTGGTCAAGCATGTAAAACAGCAATTTCCTTCTTCCTCTCCACTACCTTTCAGCAACTTGAAAGGTTTCCTTTCTGTATTGAAGCATTAGCATCAGCATTTCCCAAGCCGTGTTCTGAGCTAACAAATTCTCTCTCTGCTCATGAAGACAGTTTTCCAGTTACGTAATACAACCCTTTGGAAAATTACAAAGGCAAAGCCACTCCACTCTTGATTGTATTTAGAAAAGAAGGCTGGACCTCACCCCGTCCTAATGAAAGCAGCTCAGGCACATCTGGAATCTCCATCTCAGTAACTTCATTTTTATCAGAATGAAAACTTGCTGCCAAACTGGACAACAGAGTAAAGCTTGAGAAATAATCAGTGCCTAACATTCGGTCAGAATCACACACAGGAGAAAGGAGTGAGGCTCCAACCTCAGTCTACACTGCAAAGGGGCTGCCAGCCCATCCCCTGCAGGGCCCGCGAGGACAGAACTGCTCCTGCTGAACAAATGGGAGGGAACAGGCCTAACCATTCGCCACGCCATAAAAATTAAGCAAGTTACTGTGATAACCACCAGGGCAAGAAAGGGCCTCTCGAGGTTCACACACAAATGCTAAAGTCAAAAAATGTTCTCACTCATTAAAACACTTTTCTCTGTATTTGTCAAGAATCATGACGGCAGCATTCCTCACTCACTCAACTGTGTGTTCAGTGATACCAGACTCTAAACTAGTCCGCTGCTCATTTTCAGCACAGATATGACACTTCAGCTGGTCTGAGCACTTCTGAAGATGTGGATGTAAGGATGATATGTCTGCAAGAAATAAAATAGCTTCGCTGCCTTACAAGTCTTCCAACAGGGTTGTTTGAAGATTCCAAAATCTCAAATTTATGCAGTGCCTTTATATGCAAAATAACTTTACATCTCTCTTTTTTTTTATACATGTATTTA